CGTCCCGGCATCCCGGCGTCCCGGCGTCCCGGCGTCCCGGCATCCCGCCCCGGCATCCTGGAATATCGATTCTAACATCCCCGTATGAGCTGTCCGCATACATGCGTTTGCGCGCTTATCCGCGTATCCTCTCAAAACGATACCCCGCATTGCCCCGCATGTATGCGTATACCTATGCGTAGTTGCCTGACATTTCTCCACAGCATGCGCATTGACCGCAGTGATGAGTGTTCTGACTTTGGAAAGGGTCTTGACCACTCAAAGTTCGAGATTTTGTTTCGAAGCGACTGTTGATCTTCGGACGGAGAAGACACTTTGCCCGGCCGGCCTTTGTTGAATACCCAGTGACAAGCATCCGACCTCAGCAAACCATGAAATTAGTCTCAAGCAACAGATTGCCAAAGTTTCTTAAAGCGTTGAACACCTTTAAGAAACTTAAACAATGTTTCATCGCAGCATACAATGCAAAGCTAGAAGCAACAGACTGCCAAACACGAGAAGCAAGCACGAGTCTTTCCCGGACATTTTTTCAAGGGCCACGCCTTCTACAGTCCTTTGACTGCACTGAGGACGAATCAGAACTAATCAGGAGATAAGACCGACAATGATCATTCAGACTCACCCGTGTTCAAGCACATGGCCCATGAGGCTGTCTGCCAGAGAGGCGAAAAGGGTTGATGAATAACACCAAACCTTTGGAGTAGGCTGTCTGGCTGTCTGGTGTTTGCCAAGCAAATGGTCAGGTCTTGGAAAATATGACGCCCCAGAGAATAGCAAAATGTCAATACCGCCAAGAGGTTTTTTGAACTGGTATGGCGGGGGATGGCGTGAGGGATTTTGAGGTATCCGGGCAGTGTTAAAAAAAGGGGCCATCGACATTGACCCCAAGTCACTACAAAGCAGCCTGGGTTTGTGACGCTGATTGGCTGGGTTTGTTGTTCATCACGTCGAGAGGTTTTGGAATGTTGCAATGCCTTACATTCAGTTTGGCTCGTGTTGACTGACATTGGATTCCATGGGCCAAGTCGATAAAGTTGGGCTGATTGGTATATAGAGGGTGGAGGTATGGTGTCTGGAGTTGCAACAGGTGATGAAGTAAAGGGATACGCCAGTCGAAATGATTGCTGAGCAGATCTGTCCAGTTACCACCCCTGCATGCAAACCAAAGGCTCTTAGTACTGGACACAGTTGACTGTTGGGACACTATGGGGCATCCTCAGAACCCACCCTTCTGCCCTCCGTGTTTGCAGGCACGAGCCTCCGCTGTTCATCCCCACGAAGCAGCATAGAGTCCACCTAGAGGCAAACTTGGGCTGAGATGTGCTGGCAAGGTGGTGAAAAAGCAACATGGCACAGCCATCCGCACATGCGTGTATCAGGAAATTGTACATTGAACTTCGGAAGAATAACAGTTGGTTGGGTATCGCTGAGAAAAACTCTGCCTGTTCAAATTGAAGCAATAAGAGAACCCATAGGCCTGCCGTGCGGTGAGGTCCACGAGGGGTCTCCATGTTCTTCGGGCCAATCCTGAAAGCCAGGTTTTGTGGCAGTTTCGTGTGGGCTCACCCCAAGGTTGTCATGCTCTTCGCAAACTGACCACGGTCCTTCCATCATTCATGATCGCCGCTCCACGCGGCCCGGGGAACATATGCACCGAAGTAGCGCAATCTAAGTCTTTTTTGGTTGTCGCACTTTGTTCGAGGACTTGTAGGTTTCAATTTGTTTGGCTGTTGACGCCTCTCATGAACCATGTTGATTACTGGGCGGCCTTTTTGGCACAGCTGAACGTGAGCAGTGAAATCAAACAAAATCCATGAGATCGACATTGTGCTCAAAGCTTAAAGCGTAAAGCCATTATTCCAGTGCAAAGCAACATGTTCAGCGATCTTTGTGCTTGTGCAACAAGGGCGTTCCGCTCAACCTACTGATCAGGCCTGGCCCTGGCAAAACGCTCCGGCTGTCGGGGCTCTCAGAGTCAGGCTCGATTTGAAGCAACGACACCCAATGAGCAATGGTTCTGAAAAGGATGAGCATCAACGGGCTTCGGATTCAGTAACAGTAAGAAGTTCATTTGTTTCGATTGCTCTGAACAGATTGAACCAGTCCCAAAAAATTGAACTCTTAATATATATTGGTTTCCAATCGTATGGGTGTGATTGCCGGACCAGTGTCCAATCCTACAGCTTCAAACCAGACGGATGACCTCGTTCTCGAGAAGGCTCACACTTTCTTTGAAGAAGTACAAAGGCTTTCCTGAAAGTTCACAGTCAGACTTAAAACGCAAAAGAACCTTGCAGCCAGATTCATGACTGGGACTGGTGAGCTGGGTGAAGATGCAGCCAAAGGTCGAGGGGTAATCTCCTGGAGACATACAAATTGTATTGGGTTTGTAACATCGACATCGAACGTATCAAAGCATGTTGCCCAAAGAGTTTTGCAACATGTTGTACTGGACAAACATGGACAAACAACTGGCCTTGGCTTCCTTCAAGAATCCTACACGCCAAATGCGGGACAAAGGTCTCGCTGCATTGAGAGCCTCAGAAAGGCATCACTGGGCATAAAATATGAAAAAAACTCATTGGCTCGTGAAAGTGGGTGGTTGCGTGCTGCCAAGGGGCATTTTCCTGGAATATGGAGGCAATGGACGTGTACTTCAGGCCGAACGTGGCAGATGGCTGGGACCAAAAGTAATGCATCTGGAGAGGCTTAGGTTTGATGCGGTACACATCAGGACCTTGAGTGTTTGGTTGGCAATGCATGGACACCATCAGTTTCACAACCTTGTTTCGCTCCAGTTTGTTTTTCAACAGAGAGCAATAATTTTCAACATAAAAGACGAGTAACCCTCAGCTGATGGACGTGTCAGATCATGAGAGTTCACGGTCACGTCTGTCCACCCTTCGTCTTCCATTTCTTGAAGGAGCTTCCTCAGACTACACTGTTCTGAGTCAACGCAGCCTTTCTTATCAGCCTCTTGGACTTCAAAGATGACCGGCACGGTATCGTCATGCCACTTGCACTCAGCCATGCGGTTCAGCTCATCTGGCGGAAGCAGGGAGACAAAGGGCCCGCGTCATGACTTGGTGCGCAAGACCTTCTTGCGATCAATTGATTGTAGCATCATTCAAAAGACAGTAACAACCTGACATTGTTTGATCCAGAAGTCTTGAGAAACTGTCAATTTTGCCTTTTGGTCCAAAGCCAATAGTCACCCTACGCGCAACGCTTCAAGCTAGAGCGCCCTTCTCTTTTCAAGAGACACCCCAGTTCTAAGAAGCTCACACCCTAGTAGCTAAATGAGTTTCACAATGAGATGGTCATTGTGAGGTGCAATTCTATTGCAACCCCTGGTGTTCTAGCAGTTCAATCTAGATGCCAAACAACAACCTCCTATCGCTGGTGTATATATATTATATATAATATTATTATATTCTTTTAGTAGGCCTGCCCAGAGAGATCATGGGACCGCTGATGGCACCTGGACTACTAGAGGACACACTGCTTCAAAATACTTGGCTACAGCTACTCAGTTGTCACCGTCGCTATCTTCATCCCGACGCCCCCCAAGAACAAGTGTAGAGGCATTGGAATCGGACTCGTCGGCGGCTGGCTCGGGGTCAACGTCATCTCCCTCACGGGTTGGTTCACCATTCCCCTGGTCAGGGTCGGGCATGTCCTGTTCTGTCTCGCTCAACTCCTTCGCTGGAACCTCCTCCTCAGGTGCCACCTCGTTTGACACATGCACCTTCAAACGCCGGCGGCTCAACTCCGATGCCGACATGGATTTGATCGATGCCACTCTCTTTGGGTGCACGCGCCACCTCAGATTTTTCCGAGGGCAGTCAAAGAGTCTTGAGTTTGGCTGGTACAAAACATGAGGAATCCAACCAAAACATGAGGACTGGCTTGTACAATGTTTGATCACACTGGGGCATGCGCTCCTTGCGGGCTTCAACGAGAGCAGCTTGTCGGGTCAAGCCTGGGTTCTCCTGTCTCAATCTCTCACAAGCCTCCTGGATGTGATTGTGGTAGTCATCCCTCAGGCCAACCCGGCCTTTCACTCCACGACGGACGGTGGTCCCCTGACACATGTTGTTGTCATGTCTTGTTTCAAACAACCGCTTGGTTTTATCGCTCAGTGAAATGTAATGAGTGAACTGATACTGGACACATGGATCCAAGCAAACTTGCGATCCTGGCCTTTGCTGTATCGCCCCGTGAGGCATCATCTTCATCGGAGCCAGGGGCATCACGAGAGACCTGGAAAGCAGGACTGAAGTGGGAACATGATTGCGAGTGGAAGTCGAAGGATGTCAAAATCAATTCAATGATAGCCAGACAACCCGTTTTTCAGTCCTCATTGAATAAGGGGTTGGGTTTTTAAGTTTAGTTTGCAGAGGTGCAAATCAAAGTCAGTATTGAGCGTGGGGTGAAAAGGAAATATGCGCTTGCAGCTTTGGTATTTTTTTGTGCCTGCTTCTTCTTCCTCCGAACTTTTGTTTCCTTTTTCTGCTCCTCTTCTTCAGCTTCTTCATCCTCAGCTTCATTTTCCTTCCTCGCCTTCTTCTCCTTCTTTTCCTTGCCCTTGCCACTTCTTGTAGCCTCGACCTTCGCCTTCCTCTCATCTTCCTCAACTTCAGCTTGTTGGTCATCATGCTCCTTCGCAATCTTTGGCCTCTTTCTAGGCTTCTCCTCCTTGACCTTTGTTTCTTCTGTGGCCGGTGCCTTCCTGGCAGGCTTGACCTTCTCCTGCTCTTTAGCCTCTTTCCTCGTGATCTTTGCCTTCTTTTGAGGCTTTTCCACCGTTTCCTCCTCCTTTTCCTCATCCTTTTCCTCCTCCGGTTCCTCCTCCTTTTCCTCATCCTTTTCCTCCTCCTTTTCCTCCTCTTTTTCCTTCATGGCTGAAGCTCTCGTTGCAGGCTTCACCTTCTCATGCTTTTCCTTTGCTTCCTTCATTGCCTTCTCTTGAGGCTTCTCGTTCCCCTTCTCCGTCATGGTTTTGCGGATCTTCTTCTTCTTCTCGGCTTCAACTTCATCTTCCTTAGCTTCCTGGTCATCCTCTTCCCTCGGAATCTTCTTTCGAGGCTTCTCCTCCTTTGGAGCCTTCTCCTTCGAGGCGTTACCTTCCTGTTCCTCAGCTTCCTCGTCTTCATCTGCCTTCGCAATCTTTTTTCGAGGCTTGACTTCCGTGTCTTTGTCTTCCTTCATCTCAATCATCTCTTTCTCTTGAAGCTTCCGGTCCTCCTTTTGCTTCTTGACCTTGGGCATCCTCACAGCCTTCTCTTTTGAGGCTTTATCTTCAACTTCCTCAGCTTCCTGGTCATCCTCTTCCCTCGGAATCTTCTTCCGAAGCTTCTCCTCCCGCTTTTCCTTTGTGGCTTCTCTCACCTTGGGATCCTTCTCATTCAAGGCTTCAGCTTCATCTTCTTCAGCTTCCTTGTAGTCGTCTTCCTTCCTCTTTCGAGGCTTCTCCATCTTCTCCTCCTTTGCTGCTGTGCGCATCTTGGCACCCTTCCCATTCGAGGCTTCATCTTCGTCCTCAGCTTCCTGGTCATCCTGTTCCTTTGCAATCTTCTTTTGAGGCTTCTCCTCCTTCTTTTTCTCGGTGGCTTTAGGCATCCTTGCAGTCTTCTCCTGCAAGGCTTCATCTTCTTCTTCCTCCACTTTCTTGTCATCCTTTTCCTTCATAGTCGTCTTCTTAGGCTTCTCCTCGCCCTTTGGCTTCGCGGCTTTGATCATTGTGGCAGCCTTCTGCTTCGAGGCTTCATCTTCTTCTCCCCCAACCTGGTCATGGTTTTCTTTCGCAATCTTGTCAGCCTTCTTGATTGCTGGAATCCTTCTTGCAGCCTTGCCCTCCATCTCCTTCTCCTTTGTCTCCATGGCTGTGGCAGCCTTTTTCAGGTTCTTCCCATCGTCAGCTTTCTTTGCAGCAGTCTTCCCTCCTGCCGTCTTGTCAGAAAGCTGCGCAGAGGCGGCCTGGGCAAGATACTCTCTTCTTGAAGGTCGCGTAGACTCTTTACCAGTTGGCTTTCCAGTCGTCTTGTTTTTTGTCGTGGTCTCTTTTTCATCCTTGGACTTGGAACCCTTGGAAGGGGCAAGCTTGGAATCCTTCTTCTGAACATTTTTTGGTGGCACCTGACCTTCATCCTCAGATTCTGAAGGCAAATCCTCAAACTCACTGAAGCTCTCTTCGCTGTCCAGAGGATTGTCCTCGGATTCATCGGATTTAGGCTTCTTTGACCTTGTTTTAGCTGCAGTCTTCTTCTTGGTGTTCGCATCTGAACATGCTTTTTCTTTCTTCAGTGGTTTTGGTTGGTCGGCAGCCTTTGAATCCCGCTTGGCTGCAGCTTTGGCAGCTGCAACCTTGGCTTCAAGCTCTTTGACTTTTTCTTTGTTCATCTTTGGGTTGTTTTCAGTCGTGGATTCACTCAAAGTCAGCGGCAAATGACTCTTTGAGCTCGTCTCTTCAGGCTTGACAGGTTCGGCTGGAATCTCTTTGTGGCCTGGCACGAAGCTGATATGGCGCACCAGGTTAGGATCCTTCTCCTGCCACGAGACCACGAGGTCATGTTTCACACAAACCAAAATAATAACTAATAGTGACCCGCACAGCTACAGTAAATCTCCAAGTTTGCCCTAAACACTGAAGAACATCAACTGAAGAACATCATTGACGTCAGGACCCTTGGGCCGCCTTGGGTGCACTTGCATTCTCGGATGTTGCGGGCGGGGAAGCCTGGACCTTGACATCCGTTGACATCGTGACGGTTACAGGCTACATGGCTTGTTTAGTCGCCATATTGTTTCACCATGTTTCACCGAATGATTCATCAGAAGAAAGAATAACACAGGCTCTGACACCTTTCGTCGGCGGAGTTCTGAATGCGGCCTCATCGCCCGTCAAGTCCTTCAGAGAATGGGCCAGAAAGATTGAGACCGGGCTGGACAAATGGTCAAAGTCTGAAAGCTTACAGCTTCCGCTAGCTCCCAAGTGAAGTTCCAGAACTTGTTGGTCACTGAATGGATTTCCCCTAAGCTCCTCAGAAAGACCATGCTGAGCAAGAAGTCCAGCCAGCGCAGACGTCATTGCAATGACAACTCCCTTACCCCTTATGTCGTGAGAAGCGGTAACTGTTGGATTGAGCAGCTGTGTTGGATTGACGAGCATTTCATACCACAACCCCTTCAATTGATCAGAATTTAGAGCATATATTGCAAAAAGAGACATGGCAGTGCGGCAAAAACCCGGCCTGATTTCTTCTTCCGTTTGAGGTCCGCGACACGCTCCGCTGCCTTGAACCTCGAGGTGCCATGGCTGATGACAAACTCATCCGTCGGGATGGTGAGATCCATGTGGGCTGCCTGGGTAACGTCATGGAATAGAAGGATGTGGGGTCCCCCATGGTTGCACCAAACACTTTGCTCCAGTTGGCAGAGAAGTGTTTCCCATGAGTCAACAACTGAGTGTTTGAAAAATTGGACAAGGGACCAGGAAGAGTTTAAACTCTTGCCCTTCCACGATGTTCTCGGCTTTGCCACTACGGTTCCGAGCATCCACCAAAAACAAAGTAGTGCCTCCCCAACGTCCCGCAGTCTTCATTTCAAGGTTGTGGGCAGCGATGAGTTCATCCACGGTTTTCGGCTCCGCATCCCAGTTGAGCATGTGAATGGTCTCACTTTTCACAGGCTCCTTGGGCACTTCAGCAATCGGTGCAGCGTGGGCCTTGTCAAACCTCAGCTGGGCAAGGGCCAATGGCTAGCTAGACCAAACAGTGCCTTAAACGGGGTGTTTCTGGCTTGAAGTTGGAACTCAGTTTGGAATTGGGATGGCTATGATCTAGAAACCTGTGGACCTCTGACTGTTGGGTTGAGCAACCGATCATCAAAGTCCTGGACCAAAGCCCGCCAGTCGGAACCATAAACCACGTCAGAGTAGTACAAGGCTCGAACTTTGGATGGCAGCTTGATTGAGAACCTCTCCCAACCAGCCTTCCTATTGTCAACGGATACCTCCACAAACTTGAAGTTGAATTGACTCAAAT